ATAATGCCTAGCCTTAGAGATAAGGCGCAGTTGGTGGAAGCTAGATCTCACTACAGCAGACACTTGCTTATTGAGTTTGAGCAAGCTATCCAGCAGTGCAATGCGCTGCAGCGAGCGTGCACAAAAAGGTCCAAATGCAGACTCAAGCGCTAGCAGAAAATGACACTTTATTATAACAACAAAAGGCAACCCGGGAAAACCAGAGGAGCAAAACGAGAAACTAAAAAACCCGGGGAAACAATGATGCGAGGAAGCTGGAATCGGGACCATGGGAGGCTGCAACAGAAAAGGGAGAAGATTACTAGGGAGCCGGGAAGCTGGGGAAACACATCAAAACTGAGTTAGACTAGTTGGCTTACGATTAGAGCGGGACCGTGGGAGCTCGGGAGGGAAGTCCGTGAGAAGGAAATCTGTGGAGGTAGTGAATGGGCCAGATGATGCACCGAGTGATCCAATTGAGCAGGAGGACAGGCAGGTGGCAGACGCTGAACGCCGGATTGAAACCACAGAGAGGTGATTAATGGACTGGCGTGGAGCATCCGTCAGCGCCGGGTTAAGTAGCTCTTCAGGTAATCACCCCGATGGAGAGCAGGTGTGCCGGTGATGGCCCAGCCTGGGGGTGTGGTTACCCGCGCATCACACATTCCACACACACACACAGGACCACGGACCATGACACAGCAGTACACCCAAGTTACTGACATAGTCACAAGAAAAGCTAGCAAAGGAACCCAGGGCAGCACAGAGTTGGGCATGAGAGATTTTACTGTTGAACACCACAATCTCAGTCTTCTTATCATTTAAACAAGAGAATTACTCAGGAACCATTCTTTGACCTCCCGCATGCATTCTTGAAAGTAGTGCAGGGACACAGCAAGGTCGTCAGTAAGTTCAAAATAGATCTGTATGTCATCGGCGTAACAGTGGAAGGCAATATTGTATTTTTCAAAGATTGCGCCTAGAGGGAGCAAATACAATGAGAAGAGAATAGGGCCTAAAACTGATCCTTGAGGCACACCACAACAGACCGGAGCGGAGGAAGAGGAGAAGGTGCCTAAGTTAACTGATAAGGATCTATCAGCGAGATATGGTTTAAACCAGTCGAGGGCAGTGCCTCTAATACCCACAGTGTGCTCAAGTCTTAGTAATAAAATGTTATGGTCCACCATATCAAAGGCCGAAGAGAGGTCCAGTTAAACTAGGACCATAGAGCGTCCAGTATCAGTGATTACAAGAATATCATTAAGAACTCTAACCAACGCTGTTTCAGTGCTATGCAATGGCTTAAAGGCAGATTGAAATTTCTCAGCAATATTGTTCGTGTCCAAGTACGCCTGGAGCTGGGAGAGAACTAGTCTCTCCAGGATCTTGGACAGGAACGAAAGTTTCTCTTATCTTTGGTTCATTTGCAGGAGCCAGCACAGGTGCTGATATCAGGTGCTTTCCAGGTGCTTCAGCCACTGTTTGTAGTCCCACTCACTGATTCCTGTCCTTATATGTTAGAAACGGTATCTCCTCCACCTCTCAGTACTCTCCACAGACTGTATATAAAGGACGCACATGTGCTTCATGTGGGATGGACTTGACTGCAGACAGATTGGCTAACCGTGCATGCTTTTAGCTACAAACATAAGGCCTGGGGCCAGAATCGGCCTGCCAAAGAATTCAGTCCGGCCCAATGTATGGCTTTCAAAAATGTGAAGGTGGCCAGAAATTTTGGTCTTTGAACTGTTTTTATAAGTTTTACAGCTTTTCTCCTGACAGTAACCTCCATCATGGTCAAATACACCAAAACAACAAAGTAATAGATGTAAATGTTTAAAATTACTGTGATTTTAAACAGTTACTGAGCTCAGACATCAGCTGACAAGCAGGATCATTTACTCACAGACTACACAGTCAGACCACAGGAGTCACCCCCTGCTGTTGTTGTGCGGTATTTTCTGTTGTGTTGCATTCAGGGCCCATGGAAACCATACAACCTTGCAGCTCCAGTCTGACTTATGGTTGTGTCTTTTTAGATCAACACAGAGACGTTTTGGACTTAAAGTTCACTTCAGAAGGATTTAGGTTAAACATGTGGACCAATGAAGAAGAGCATCTCTGACCAGAGCTTTACTGACCCACAACACAGCATGTGCTAGTCTCTCAGTGAAGGCACTAAAAGTGTGATATGGCCACTGTCCTGTCAGCTGAGACAGTATGGTTAGCACTGTACTGAGAGACAGATGTTTGATTTTTCCTGTCCTAACTGTATAACTTTGCTGTGCTCATTCAGAAAAATCCTCTGAATAACCACAAAAAGCTCTGAAAGTGCTAAAAGCTGCTGACCTTGGATCGAAGCCAGCAGTGAGAAAATTCCTGTATTTATAATAGAAGCCACACAGGAGACGAGGGAAGTTTTCTCTGGATGGTGTCCATGCATTAATGCCCTGCAGGGTTGAGGCATCCTGAGGAGGATGTGGGTTTGATTCCTGGTAAAGTGTGGTCACGGGGCTCTCAGTGCTTTCTCTGCACCTGCTTTACAAACATAGGACGGACTTTGGACTTCACAGCACTGATTAATGTCTGACTGCTGGTTAATAAAAACCTCCGCAGTCACAATATGCAAGGTTCATATCCTCTCTCTGTGCATTACTCTCTTCTTGCCTGAGCCAACTTGTTTTCTCAGCATTACTTATGTTCTTTTACCTGAAGAATCTGGATAAACTGAGCTTTTAGCCCAACTTTAGTTAAAAAAAAAAAAGTCTGCAGTGGAGCCCTAAAGAATAATGTGTAAATATGTCTCCTTTAAACTGAATCCGGTCGTGTTTATGTATCCCAGCTGTGTTCCTTTCATGGATAACATCACTGAATTGCTCTGCCAGCCTCTCTGAGTCAGCAGTCAGTCCCGCAGCCTGGCCACTTGGATCCAGTCATTATTCTGGGCCAGAGCAGCCCCAGGCCCAGCCTGGCACTAACTACCGAGCCTGTCAAACCACACAGTCAGACCCACCCAAACCCAGAGCCAAACCAGAGCACACCAGAGCCAGGACGCACCAGGCCAAGAGGAAAACGAAAAAGGCACCAAAGCACAGGATGAGCGTGCACTGTGCTTCAGGTCTGCAACACTTTTCTGAGCAGGAAAAAGTGTTTGTGGATGATCAGGAAAACTCGGCAACACCCTAGTTCATGATTCAAGAAACTAAACATTATGAAACAGTACGTTTCCACACTTACAGTAAAGCTGTCAGAGGTGGAAGCAAAGTACACTTACCTGATTACTGTACTTCAGCTGCATATTCTGGTATTTACTCGAGTATTTATTTTAGTCCCACCATTAAACGCAAACATCTCAATGTCCTCTCTTCTCATTTTTCCAACCAGGCTCATTACTTTAGCTTTAAGACACCGAAGGGGAGTTTTTATTTTCCCCTCCAAACATCGTAAGTGACTCGCAGGAGGAACAAAAACACAGAAGATGATCTTTGAACAAAAACAAACAGAAAACTGTAAACACCTTACAATGAATCTGATGCAGTTAAATTCATACTCATTTAGAGTGCGTTATACTGTCATAAAGAAAGGCTGCACACGTTCCCTGCCATGTGTTTGTGGATGCAGATGTTTGACCCTAAATATGCTCACAGGTGTTGTTGAATAAAAGGTTTCTTTAAGATCGTGGTGAGTTTAATGTACGTCGACTTGTGTTTGTGGCCTGGAAAATATTTCACCTGTGGCTATGATTTTGAGTCTCTGTCCTGCTGGAACACTCAAACTTCATGTCAGAGTTTTCCTGCTGTGGTGTTTCTGCTCGTCTTGCACAGCTGGATGTTTCATAGTGTGCTGCATGTTTGGGGTTGTTCTTTCCAGGTCCTCTTCAGCTGCGGGAAGCCAACAAACCATGTTATGCAAATTAGAGCTGAAGTGACCTTGAAGGCTGAGACAGACCGTCTGAGCAGCTCAGAGGTCATTTCACAGCTCAGAGGTCATTTCACAGCCAGTGTAACAATTAAGTTTAACATCCAGGCATCCATGAAAACCGAATTTATGAAATTTAATGCCGTTAGAAGTTAGCAGGGAGTTAGCTTGCTAGCTTCCATCTAAATATAACACACCATGTTCTGACTGAGGGATTTCCGAAACAAATTAAGACGTACAGCTCTATCACTCCCGACATAAATGAAGACAGGAACGTAAACAGCAGTGATGTTCTTAGGGTTACTGAAGTTGGGCTAGCTGGTATATAATGATGTGCTACACGATCGCTAGCGACACAGCTATGTTAGTATAATATAAACACTCAAGCTGGAGGGTGAATGCTAACTAGGGATGGGTACCGGTGTCCGGTGCCATGATGGCACCGGTTCTGACATAA